ATTTGTTTAAGAAGAGGGATACTTTCGTGGAAGACATAGGGAAAACTGGCTCGTAATTACGTTACACACGGGGAAAAAAAAAAAAAAAAAAACAGAAAATTATACAGGGGTTGGACAAAAATATGGAAACACCTTTAAAAAAACATGTTTCTTTGCTTAATAATATGGTGTAGGAAACCCGTTGGCATCCAAAACAGCTTGCAGTCTTCTCGGAATGGATAAATACAGTTCCTGTATGTTTGCCAAGGGAATATTATACCATTCTTCCTGCAAAACGGTGGCAAATTCAGATAACGATGTTGCCGGTGGATAACGAGAACGCACTTTCCGTTCCAATGTAGACCAGAAAAGTTCGATAATATTCAGGTCTGGTGACTGTGGTGGCCAGGGAAGATGGGACAACTCATCCTCGTGCTCAGAAAACCAGTCCTGGACAATGTGAGCTGTGTGAACAGGGGTTTTGTTGTCTTGGAAGACACCATCACCATCGGGGAACAAAGTTTGTACCATGGGATGAACTTGATCGGCCAAAATGTTCACATAAGTCTTGGCAGTCATGTGCCCTGACACAGTTATCATGAGGGTAGCAGAGAACCACGATATGGCTGCCCAAACCATAACAGAACCCCCGCCATGTTTCACTCTTGGCAACAAGCAGTCTGTATTACAGGCTTGAGGTGGCGTTCTCCAGACGTAAACTCGGCCAGAAGTGGGAAACAATGTGAAAGAAGACTCGTCAGACCATATTACTCGCTTCCACTGCTCTATAGTCCAGGCTTTATGACTTAAACACCACCTTTTCCTGTTACGGGCATTAGCATCACTGATGAGTGGCTTCTCAATTGCAGCACGGCCAGCAACTCTCTGTTTATGAAGCTCCCTTCTAATTGTTTTGGTACTCGCAGGGTTCGGTAACACAACATTCATTTCAGCAGTAACTTTTGCAGTTGTGGTCTTCTTATTTTTTGTCACATTTGCCCTTAATGATCGTCTGTCACGATCACTCGGGACACACTTTCGTCCGTGCTGTGATTTAGCAGATGATGTTTTTCCGCTTTTCAAATATGCGGAATAAATCTTCCATACAGTACCTCTTGAAACACTAAACACCACGGCTACCTTGCTTACGGAAGCACCTACCATACGTGCTCCGACAATTTGCCCACGTTCGAAGTCTGTTAACTCTGACATAATGCAATGACAACCTCACATAACAGTACTCCGACAACAACTGAACTGTTTAGCACATTTACGAAGTTGTATAGGTGGCGTCAGTAGTCAAAAACGCCAGCGCCACCTACATATTTCATTAAAATCAATCTTTCTTTTCAAACATGCATTTCACAAGGTGTTTCCATATTTTTGTCCATCCACTGTATATTCAGCTATTCCACTCGCTGGAATTGTATATTAAATTAATCGCTCTGTGATTATGTGTGATTTTCGTGTCTAGATGTTTTTATTGTAATGCTTAATTTAGCTTTTCTATATCTTGCAGTGTTAAGTTGTAAGAAGGCATATGTAAAATTTTAAACTTAATTGCTTGAAGAGGTTATTATTAGATTGAATTGCATTATTATTACCAGATTACAATGCCTTATTATTTAATATCTTATATGAATTTCAACTTTAAATACATATATAATAATAATAATAATAATAATGAGCTGAAAATTACATAAAGTACACAATAATGACTTTAAGTTTTTACTGTAAAGATTTAATGGTTAACAGTTAATCAAGTTTTGGATTTAGTTTATTTAGAATTAAGAAAAAGAGCGCGTGAGCACAAGTGGTCGAGAATATGGCGGCGTTTTTATTGCTTTAAATGTACTATTTCCAGAGTGTGTTTCTCAGAACGCTTCAAAATTTAAAATTAACAATGAAACTTTATCTTTAAAACGTATTTCTAAAATTTCTCAGCTAATTTGGCCCCCTTCTTAATCGTTAACCTGAAGCAAGCACCTTATCTTTGTCTCCGCTCTGCAATAAAATAGTTATTAACGGCGAAACTTGCAAACAGGTTAAGATAAGCAAGGTGGGTTAGCTGTTACGTTGAACATTTATCTTACACGATAAAGTCGTTATAAGCTGAAATGTTGGGGAATTGTTATCTTACCCCCCCCCACGCAAAAGGTTATAATGCTGAAATATTTACACTTGTAAGGTGCATCAAAATTCAAAATAATTTACTCACAACATATTGGCAACAAATTTCCATTTATTGATTATACATTAATTTACATTCATTAATTTTCTATACAGTTATACAACAATAAAGAGTAGAACACAAAACGCGCTGATGCTCCATTCTGTACAAGATTTGAAGATAACATATATTATACAAGTTCATAGGTTTCTCTCAATACTGCAAGATACACTGAGTTCTCTTCTAGAGAGAAGCTTTTATTTATTTATTTATTTATTTTTTTTTTTACAAATATGGCACAAAAATTCGACTCTCCAAACAAACTGCTACCTTTTTATAAAAATATATTAATCACCATTTATTCTCTGCACGTGATAGTACTGTGACTAGATTTCGTTTGCATTTTGTATCATGGTTGAGGTACTTACGTATTTTGCCGTCGCATATTTTCATCAAACAAGGTAATGTAGCGGCAATAATGGATAAGGGTGACGCACATAAGATCTGCATCTTGATTTGATGTTAACACCCGATTAATTCTCGATGAGCCATTTTATCTGTTTATTTTTTACTAGGAGAATCTGTTGAGTCAAAACTTTCGCCGGAATGATTGGCTTAAGTTTTAGCTCATATGTATTTAGGTTTGTTTAGCTGTATCCGTAACTTTTATCTGTTGATTACATAAACAGCAATTTTCTTCTTCAAACTTCCTTCGTAATGGTGGGCGCTAATTTACCGAGACTTCTGAAGATTTTCTGGTTGACGGGAAAATACGTAAATACTAAAAGTGATTTTAGTAAGGCTTCTTAGATTTCCCCAATGAAACTTTTAAAAGGTTTACCAATTGAAAATACCCCCATTACTAACGTTCCCGTAGAAATATTAAAATTAAGAGTGCATATATTGCATACTTATAAAAAAATAATTTTCAAATATAATTTAGGTGGACGAAAAAAAATCTGTAAAATAATCCATTTTTCAAAAATATCCTATTGGTAAAATTCATAAACTTAAATAAACGAAAAATGCTTCATATTTCTGATGTTATAGTTTTCTAACTAACATTCGTTTTTCTTTATGAACACATTAAAGATATAATTAAAATCGAAAAGAAAGGTATTGGTTTATAATTGTACAATATCTTAGGGAAAAAAATGTAGCTTTAAACAACATTTGAGGTTTTTGCGCAATTAGAAATTACTGCTATAACTGAGCAATTTACAACTAACTTTTACCGGTTTTTCCTGAAACAGCTACTAGTATTGTGGAATTTTTTTAATACGCACAATATTACTAAAATCCATATGAGTGTCTTCCCTTAAAAATATATCTATTTGGTAATAAAAAAAGTAGCAGTCGTTTCAAAATAACTGTATCTCTGAGCTTATACAGGAAAGAAATATACACAGTACATTAAAAAATCTGAATCACACTATAAACAATTTACCTTTTAGATTCATCGATTCAATCAAAAATGTCATCGATGCAATCAAAACTGTTACAAATTCAAACGACTCGCCCTCCAGACAAAATTACATGATCTCATCATGAAGTAAACTATCACATAATTTTTAACTTACATAATTGCATAAGTTGTCCATTAAATGCAAACCAATTAATGTAATTTAAAAACTAAAATATAACTTTAAAACATTAGTGACGTTTTAGAATGAACTATTATGTCAGAGGCATACTGTATCTCTGAGCTTATACAGGAAAGAAATATACACAGTACATTAAAAAATCTGAATCACACTATAAACAATTTACCTTTTAGATTCATCGATTCAATCAAAAATGTCATCGATTCAATCAAAACTGTTACAAATTCAAACGACTTGCCCTCCAGACAAAATTACATGATCTCATCATAAAGTAAAATATCCCATAATTTTTTAACTTACATAATTGCATAAGTTGTCCATTAAATGCAAACCAATTAATGTAATTTAAAAACTAAAGTATAACTGTAAAACATTAGTGACGTTTTAGAATGAACTATTATGTCAGAGGCATAAATATAATAGTAGAATTCAACATATCATTTGTAAAACGGTAATGAAATTAAAAACAAATTTTAGTGATACTGCCTTTTATTGATATCATTTTTACCAGAAAATATACAAATAAACTCCTAAATATCGCTTTATATAATTTCAGGTAAGAAATATATGACTTGAAAAAACATTTCCTTTTTTTTAATGTAATACAAATTCTATTATTAAAATATCAAACGCTTAACCTTCAAGCGAAATAGCAAAACAAAAGTTCTGTCTGACTTAAGATGATGACTTAATTATACAGGTTTTAAGTGCGTATTATGAATAAATTTATAATAAAAATAGGCGAAAATATATCATTTAGGCATAATAAGACTATAATTCAGGTAGATATGCTTAAACATACTAATGCTACTGAAAAAATAACTAAATGAATTATTAATAAATTAATGATATCAGTGTTTCAAAAAATGAATATTATATCGAAATTATACACAAGAAATTTAGGTTAATCTTCGGATTATGGTAACTTGGCGAAAATTTGGCGACCAACCCTGCTACAGATACCTGTTAGCTTTTTTTTTTTTTTTTTTTTTGACGCCATTTTGTTTTCACGAAGTAAAGACATTTTTTTTTTTTCCCTCAACATTTTTTTCCAACAATCTGCTAGCCGAATTATGCTTATGCTAGAACTTTTATGGAACAAAAGTGCTTAATCATGACGAAGATTAGGTGCGAAATTGGGAGAAAATGCAGAATCGCCCACTGCTTGCCGCGTTTTTAAGAACTACACATACACGGTATCATCCATGTACACGTCGACCTATTTTCACTTAAACATCCCAGAATTGCACAAAAATGGCACTGCGCACACTCTTGACTTTATCCATGTACACTGCTAAAGTCCTAGTTAGTAACCTTTATCGCCTTACCAAAATGTCGCCAAACTACCTGTTACCATATTCCAAAGATTAGTCGCAACTTAAATCAAATTTTCCCTATTACTGAAACTAATCCATAACAAAAATACCAGCAATATTTATCCTACTTTAAGGCCACCAAAATCATTTATAATCGTCTTGATTAAAAGAGAGCACTGTAATTATAAATCAGCATGAAGAATAATAATATATATAACTGCGAATTTTATGGTATAAGAATATACATAACTGCGAATTATGAAGTAACAATAAATAAATTAGTAACCATTAATTATAAAATTCATAGACTTTCTTTCCTTGATCATTTACAAGGTGCGCACACGCGATATATGGAACAATAAGATACGTACACATTGTTTATTGTTGCATATATTGTGTGCAACAATCTCCAGAATTGTCAAAAATGAAAAGCATTGCTCATATGGCACAAATTCATCGAAACGAAAACATTGCACGTGTAGCACAAGTTAGCAAGATGTTCTTGATCCTTGCTAAACACCTCATGTGCTTAAAAGATAAAGAAAACAGTTTGCTGCTGTAGAGTAAGTATCTCAGCAGCTAATCTTTCCTGAGCTTGCGCAAAATAAAAACAGTTATAAAATATTTACTCGGCTCACGGTGGCCGCAGGTGCTTGACCATGAACCTTGTTCAGGAATTGCTACCGTCCATCATAAGGTGAATCTCCACTGCCATATCCGCTGGAACCGTCATCTCTGACGACGGTTTCGGTAATTTGCAAGGCCTGTCGTTTAAGTTGGGCCAATCCGGGACACGTGATCGGCAGGGAAGCGAACAAAACCCGTTCCTCGTAGTCGTACTCGCACAAAATCTTGTTGTCATACAAGTAAAAGCGATCACCAACGCAGAACCTAAAAGGAAAGACAGAGGTTAAGTTGTGATACAATGCAGGAGAGGAAATCTGAAATCTTTCAGATTTTATATTACACCAAAGAGGGCGTTTTTTTAACGTTTTGTGTGTTACATTTATTTATTAAATATCATTTAAACCAAATAAAATTCAATTCAACAGCAGTATCACAAAATATTTAAAAACAGCATATCTTTAGAACTTCCAATACACATTCTCGCGCACTGGAAGTCAAGACGCTTTTTTTTTTTCGTACAGCGTTGCAATTGCTTGCTTCGAAATCGTTGAGTTCGTTAATGAAAAATTCCTTAAAAACTTTTACAAAATTTGAAATAGATAATGAAACAAATTCGAAATTCGGGTTTCAGAGTGCCCAGGTTCAGTTAGAGGAACTACGTTATTCAAAATTGGATGGCTCTAGGTACCGTTGTTTTTTTCACAATGCAAACTAAATTCCTGCAATCATTCAGATTCTTCACATTATTTAGTTTCTTTAAATATAATACATGGCGATAATATTTGGTGGCAACAGTTTGAAAAGTGAAAAAAACACAGAAAGTGAAACGACGCAAAATGCCGTTTCGAGAATAATAGCCCTTTGGATCTAACGCCCTTTGGGCCCACCAGCGGCCGAGCGGTAAAGTCGCTGAACACTGGTAGTTCGGTCCGAGGTTCGAATCCCGCGAACGGGCTGGCTGCATGGGTGTTTTCGTGGTTTTCCCCATGTGTAACGTGTATACGAGCCAGTTTCCCTTAGAAAGTCCTCCACGAAAGGCATCCCTCCCCTTTGGCAGATAACCCTAGTGTGCTTTGCCGTAATTAAATACACACACACACACACACCTAACGCCCTTTGGACTAAAAATTCATAAAAACGAATAAGCTTTCCTAAGAGGAGAATTTCATCAATTGAATTACGAGTTTCCCCTTTCTCGGTTTGGGGGGGAGGGGTGGAGGTTATGACGAGACAAATATTTAAGCTCACAACTTCGCCAGTAAACGACAGCTTAGGTGATAGGTAACTGTTTTATTGTATAGTTCTTCAATACCTGTTCAATACAATCAGACTTATGTTGAAGCAATGCATCACTTATAGCTTATAGGGATAGAGTTGTATTACATCATAAAGAATCTGCAACACTTAATGAAGTAACACGTGTTTCTTGCACTTTCTCAAGTACTGCTAACACCACTCATTGACTGCGATAACTGGTCTCCATATGTGTAGCTATACGATTTAGGCGGTATTCAGCCAATGACGAAATCCTGCTATTATGCTATCGATAAGTATTTTTTTTTTTTCCCTTATCAAGAAGAACACACTAAACACTTGATAGTGGGAAACAATACGTAATAAAACAAGAGTTCAGCATTTAAGCAAAATTTCTTGCGTTAAATATCGCTTCAAATCTAGGATGGCAGTATGCTCCATATAGTATCAAAATCGAGCTGCCATACTGTGTTTTCGGTAGATCCAGGCAAAAAGGAAAAAAAAAAAAATCCAAATTCATGAAAGAATTTTTAAGCAAACCGCGTCCTCCTATGTCAGTTTATTTAATAATAGTCGAAATTTAGCGGAGCGATGGCCCCCAAATGTGGTGGCCTATTTATATTGCGTCATGAAGAGCTAAAGTGAAAACATATCTCTGTGTACATAGCGGACAACAAAAGTTTCTTTCACCCAATCTACACAGCGATCTGTTTTTGCTTTAAAAAAATAAGCAAATTTCATGTAACTGTACTAATATATTTCGTATTACTGTTATTTACATTAAAACAATTTCGTCTCACTAGTCATTTTTTCGTAGTTAGATATAATTTCATATGCAATAAATACTTCGTAATAAAGTCGCTCAGACGGTACATTGGTTAAGAAAGCTTACTGCGGCACCAAAGGGCCCGGGCTCGAATCCCAGAGAAGACCTGGATGTTTGTAAGTGTATAGTGTCTGTGCGGCATGGGGGCATTTTAAATATGCGGCAGGCCGAAATTCCCATCGCCTGTGATTTGATGGAAGGGGAGAGGAGTGAAAAACCGCAGGATCACCGTCCGGACTGCTCTCCCTCAAAATTGGGCAGGAAAATAGAAGTTCAATCTCTCTTCGGAGTAGGCTCTGCCAACCATTCTTCCATGTAATATAAACAAGACAACAATCGCAATTTCGTAACAGATCCAAACGCTGAGACATGCTGTAATCCAAACGCTGAGATATGCTGCTGACATGCAAGGTGTGACATAAAAGAAAGAGACTGGTCCAATAAAACATTGTACTTCACAGAGTTCTCCATGACATTATGACCTTCAAAGTAGTTCCCTTTGGCATTCACACACTTCTGCATTCGGTGCTGCCATTGCTGGGAACAGTTCTGGAACGAGGTTTTTGAAAGACCCTTCAGGAGATTCTCCGTTTTTGCCTGAACCTCTTCAGCTGAGGTAAAATGGGTTCCCCTTAAGTAAGATTTAAATTTAGGAAATGGAAAAACGTCGCATGGAGCCAAATCGGGTGAATAAGGACGATGTCCCATCACAGTAATGTTTTTGCTGGTCAGAAACTGCTTGAGAGTGCGTGTGAGCGGGTGCATTGTCCTGGTGCAACACTCATAAATCATTCCGCAACTGTGACCCTTTTTTTTTCCAGAACTTTTTCACGAAGTATTTTTAGTACTTCAGTGTAGCAGTATTAATTTACATTCTGACCACTGGGAACCCATTCAATCATGGTGAACGTTCTGGGCGCCTTCACACTGACCCCTTCTAGCTGAAAACCGCTTATGCCATTCAAACACACGTGCACGAGAGAAAGTTTCATCTCCATAAGCCTCGGTTAACATTTAAAATGTTCCCTCTGTGGCTGATTTCTTAAGTTTCATAAGAATCTTGATGTTGAATCGCTGTTCGGTTTTTACATTAGACATTTTTCCGGCAGAATGCACGTGTTCACTCAATGACGCAGTATTTCCCACTGGCGAAGTCTGTTAAAGTGAAACTGGCTGTATGGATAAAGGAGATGTGTGGCATGACGTTACCAAAACAGTTCTTGCCAACTTCACTCTGTTTTCAAGCTACACACGTAGTCTTTTTTTTTTTTTTTTTTTTTTTGTGTGTGTGTGTGTGTGTGTGTGTGTGTGTGTGTGTTTCACACCTCGTGAAACAGATATTTAGCTACAGATGGCAAAACTCTTATCTAAATATGTTATGTACCTATTTAAACAGAATAAAGAAAATTAAAAATTACACGCGAAAACATCACGAAAGAAAACGTTGTCGTAGAAAATAAAGCAGTTCAAAAACTTCAGTTTTAAAACATCATGGTGGAAAATATCCTGATAAAAATAAAGCACCTACAAATCATCGCAGACAATTTGGTAATTAATTAAGCAATTTCAATAAGGTACCTTCATGTAATTACTCATCTTACTTTTTCTAATCTTCTTATGCTATAATTTATAGCACATTCTTTTTTTCATAAAAAATTGCTCACACGATTTTGTAAAAGAGATTAATTAAATAATAAGTTTTAATAATTAACAACGTAATTTTAAAATTCTGTTAACTGCCTGATATACATAGTTTTAATTTCTAAGTATTTTCAGGATTTGAATGTTTACGATTTTATTTATTTGTAAAAATTTTATTAGTTTATATATTTAAAAATTATGACATATTAAAGTAAACTGTTCTTCATTTCTTATTCTGCTTAAAAATCATTATGGGAAAATGCGTTTCAAAGTCTAAATTCACATATCTGCGGGTCCGCCGAGCGGTGAAGTCGCTGAACACTGGTTCAGTCCGAAGTTCCAATTCCGCGAACGGGCTGGCTGTATGGGCGCTTTCGTGGTTTTCCTCATGTGAAACGTGTGTACGAGCCAGTTTCCCTTAGAATGTTCTTTACGAAAGCATCCCTCCCCTTAGACAGAGCCCTCGAGTCTTTGCCGTAGTCACATAAACAATGGAAAAAAAATTCTGAGATGTTATCATCATGCGATGGTTTGTAGCTACTTGTCTATTACAATGTTTTTAGAACTGCAATGTTTTCTCCTTGCTTTCTTTTCTTGCATGATGTTTCTCCTTGCATTCTTTTCGTTCGCGATGTTTTTCTCCTTGTTTTCTTTTCTCGCATGATGTTTCTTCTTCTTGCATTCTTTTCGTTCGCGATGTTTCTCTCGTTATTTGCTTTTTTCGTATGATGTTTCTTCTTGCATTCCTTTCGTTCGCGATGTTTTTCTAGTTGTTTTCTTTTCCCGCATGATGTTTCTTCTTGCATTCTTTTCGTCTGCGATGTTTTTCTCCTTGTTTTCTTTTCTCGCATGATGTTTTTTCTCCTTGCATTCTTTTCGTTCGCGATGTTTCTCTCGTTATTTGCTTTTTTCGTATGATGTTTCTTCTTGCATTCCTTTCGTCCGCGATGTTTTTCTCCTTGTTTTCTTTTCCCGCATGATGTTTCTTCTTGCATTCTTTACGTCCGCGATGTTTCTGGTGAACAGTGGCATGCCGTGCATTTTGGGAAGTTCCCTAAAAACTAATTTATAATTCATTTCGTCAACAAAATCACATGGTTCCCATGAATTTTAAGATTTTCATGTACGAGTACTATATTATTTTAATGAAAAACAGTTATAGAAATGATAACAGCAAATAACTATTACTGCTTTTACCTGTGATTGCATTGTTGGCAAGCAAAACATTCTAAGTGGTACACATTGCCGCGAGCTCGCATCACCATTTCAAATGCTGGAATGGTCTTGTTACATGCTGAGCACAAACCAGTTGTGCCAAATAATCTGCAAACAAAATATTCAAATTACTTAATTTTCTCAGAAGCCACAGCATTTTGATTAAATATTATACATTATTATGAAATAAAAAATATACTGCTATGATACTTTAGCTTACAATTTCTCTATCTCTAAATTTCGATTTTAGCTTTCTTCAACAAAAAAGAATAGACCTCTTTGTAGATTATGCGTAAATTCCTTAGTGTTTCAGCCTCTTTCTAAAAACCTCAGCTTGTTTTGCCAATACCTCTACCACAATTGCTTAAGGTCATTCCCCCTTCTTTCCCAACTCGAAGAATATATACACATTTATCTAGATTGCTTTTTAATTTGTTTTATTTTGGTTTTTTATTTGTTTTATAAATGAAACAACAAAAAACTACAGAAAATGTTGATAAATACCACAGTTTTTTTTTTTTTTTTTTTTTTTTAGTCCAAAGGGATTTGAATCCCGAAGGACTATAGTTCGTTTTGGCATTTTGCGTCGGACTCATAAATGTCGGTTCACTTTTCAACTGGTTGCCACAAAATGTTAGACTCCTGCATTATATTTCAAGAAATTAAATAATGAAAAAATCTGCATAAATGTATGTATATTTCTCGTATTGTGATAAAACAACGGTACATAGAGTCATCGAATTTTGAATAACGTAATCCTCCAACGAATATGAGCATGTGGAAGATCAAATTTGAAATTTGAAATTTGTTTTATGATCGATTTCCTATTTTTTAAAACTTTGACGAATTTTGATTAACAAACTCAAGGATTCAAAGCGAGCAATGGCAACGTTGTGCAGAAAAAACATTTTTATCTCCAGCGCGTGAGTCTCTGTATCGGAAATTCTAAAGATAGGCTCGTTTTAAAACTATTTTGCGATATTGCTGTTGCACTGGATCTTATGGTTTAAGTGCGAGGAACATGATATTTAATAAAGAAAGGTAACACACAAAATGTTAAAAAACGCCCCTTTGGACGTAATTTAAAATCTGAAACATTTCAGATTTTTTTTTTTTTTTAATGGCAGATTACAAAGACATCTGTGGATAAAACAAGCAAAGATGAAAGACAACAGCAAAACGAAAAATGAGTCCACAGTATAATCTATAAATCTATTTTGAGCCTCGCCTCCCATTCTTTTCCGTCCAGTATTAAGTGTAGGGCAACGACTCAGATGTGAGGCTTCCATTTCCCCATGAAAGTTGCACGGTTTACAAATTGGGGTTGAGATAATGTTCATTCATGCAGATGTTTAGAAAGGTAATCATGGCCAGTAACAAGAGACAGATGCCAAAGTAGTTTTTTATATTAAAGATGATGAAAGTAGTTTTTTATATTCATAAATTAAAATTAATATGTAGTAGCTAAATGAAAGGCTCATCGCATTTCCCCCCTGAAACTACAAAATTCCCCACTAAGACGGTCGAGAGGATTCCGCTCTGACCAGTGTCAGATTTACATATAAGCTGCACAAGCTATAGCTTAGGGCACCGACTCCCGAAAATTGGACCATATCCAATATAAAAAAAAAATTGACTCGATCCCTCATAAAGGATCCCATATCTGAAATAGCTCAGAATTTCGTCAAATCTAAATCCGGTCATAGCCATGGCTTAGAACCGTTGTTCTAAACCTTATTGGTCTGCTCGTAATCCTTCCAAATTCGCGATCGAGGCCTTCGTCTTTACTAACTCTATCACTTTTAATAAAAGAAATTCAAAAACCTGTGGTTTTGAGAATTTTAACCTTACAGCAATAATGAAACTTACCACTGATGGTTGGATTGTCCACCTACTATGGATTCCAAATCATGTTGGTATTCGAGGGAATGAATTAGCTGATGAGTAAGCTAAAAAAAGAACAACCCTCCGGCAACTAGACGCGCTGACCTCCCTAATAACGTCCAAAACACATCATTGAAGCCTCAGTTTACAGCAATCAAGAGAAGAATCGTATCCAGGAAAGAGATATGAAAGCTTATTTTTAAAAGGTACCATCCGAAAGATTCCACCCAGACCAGTCGCCGTGGCAGAATTCAGGCTGCGCGGGAGGCACGACTATATCCAAGATCACTTGCACTGTTTTGGTCTAGCGGACAGCACCACATTCCCACTTTGCCAGGCTTGAAAAATGGAAGGAGAACATCTGCGAAGCTGCAGTGAGCTTGCCAACACACCGACCTCGTAACATAAAGGGTCTAGACTGTACTTTTCTTTAAATCGAACGGCAGGCACTTGCCGTTTTTCAGCATTGATCACTCCTAAGGCCGGAAGTGGTGGACATTTTATTGTGAAGGCACCTAACAGGCAGCCAGCGTTACCTCCAATGAAGGGACACACAATTTATATCCATTAATAATGAGGGACATCCCAATTTCTCCGGATTTCGAACTCGGACCTTTCGGCATCGCAGTTGGCTTCCCTTACCAGACGGTACAGTACGTGCGGCGGTCCAGCCTGTACTGGGAAGCTTGTCGCCGAATAGGAAAACTGCCATGGATTGGCATCGGCTACAGTAAGTAAGCATTACCAATCACAGCAGGTTGGGTAGATGGCAATCTGACCAGTTGAACACGCCTGATGAAAAGTGGATTAATAGATATCAGTAAGTAAGGACTCAAAAACAGAAGTAAAGGTTCTTCAGTCAAGATCTTGTCACCACCTTTCTTCAAGATCAAGTCACTTTTCTTTTCAAGACCATAGCTCTAAGCAGCTATTTTAGACAGAGAATTAAATCCAGCTGAAACATGTTGAAAAAAGTATTTTTCGCCTTCTGATATAAATACTATTGTCCTTCGCAAACGCCAAACTTAGGTGTTCAAGCCATCAGTTTGCTAGCTTTCCAATTTTCTTTTTCCATATGATAAACCTTTAAAATCTGCATCATAAGTTGATAAATCACACAAAATACGTTTAGGGGAACAGCTATTAATCGAAACAAGGATGCATATGCAAAACAGTCGAGTATGGTCAAAAATCTAAAGCATGCAACAGACGAGAATCAAAGAGTTCAGTCTAAAAGAATCACAGAGTTCTCTCATTAACTAATTAAATACCTACCAATTTTTGTCTTCTAGACAAATAGCATATATTTGGTCTTGAAACATTCCTAAATTTCATGTTAATCATTATGAAAAATCGAGAGGTAGCGGATGAAAACTTTCACTTTAAAAACAAAAAACGCTGAAACAAAATGGCAAAATGCCACAAGATTTCTTTGATCGAAATTAAAACACCAAAATTATGCTCATAGACATTTCGATATCAGAGGCATAAAGAATTCCTGGGCAGTGGGAAAAGTGTTATAACTATAGTCTACAAAGTTAAGTGAAGAAATATATTTGTGGTGTCAGAATATACGGGAAAGTGTTCACCTGCTTTACTCTTTTTCAAGATAAAAAAACCTCTTTACTATGAGCATTGGCATCGTATAAAAATTTTCGGCCAAAGCGTGAATTTAAATTTCAGCACGTTCACCCCCCCCAAACGAATTAAGCTCCGTGTGATTATTTCCTGTTTCCCGAAATCAAAGCACTATATAAATGGTGACTAACCAACTTACAAACAACGGCAACAAGAATTTTTAGCTGCTTCCTAGCAATCATTCTATAAATTTTACGATTCTTAGAAGTTGTGCATATGTACCTACAGTACCTTATTTTGAATAAATTAAAATAGGTTATTTTATTAAAGCAATTCATTTTTTAATATATATTCAAATGGCCTCATAATGTATATATTTCTTCACTTAATTTAAGTGAAGAAAAATAACCAAAACTTTTATCATTCAAATGAATGCTATTCATTTCGAAAATACACCCGTTGTATATTTAGTTCAAATACGTTAACCCCCCCCCCACGGGGGAAAAAACAAACCTCCAAGATGAAACTCGTTTTTTTCCTTTAAAAAATTAGTCACTTTCTCAATTTATATATTTTATTTTCAAAGACTCGTTTAATATGCTCAAAACTACCGGAAAAGTACAAATATGCTAAATGAAATCAGCATAGTTTTAACTTAATATTATGCCGAGATTCTCTAGACATTTAATCCAATAATTTGTTTTTCCAAATCATTCTCCTCTACTTCTAAATAAATCCGTAACACAATTATTTTTATTTTTTATAACCCGTTATACAATTATTTTTTGAAACTGGTGATTTTGGCTTGAGGCAATGAACAAAGAAACTCTGTTTCGATTTACTGAGTACAGAAGTTTTCAGTGCCTAAGTGCCATTTTTTTCACTGTCGGCCGGTTCATAAGGTCAACCAAATCTCCATTTGTCATTTCATGATTAAAATTTTGACTTCACCTTTTGCATATCTGAAAATCCTTTGCCGATAGCTTTTGCAGTTTGCAACATTTCTTTGGCTTCATTTTCAATTGGTGGAAGTCCTTTAAAATTGTTCTGGCCAGAGCTGAGGTCAGCAAGCATTCAGTGTTTATGAATGAACATTAAAGCGCGAATGAATGATAGCTCTAGGCAAATAAATTAAATGGAAAACCTACCAAAGAAACAATGTATATGCGAAATAGCGTTGCGCAAATCCACGTTCGGCAATTCATTGTAAATTAAAGAGCGTTGGTTTTCACGCCCAAAAATGACCATATTTACTTAATGTTAAATAAAGATCTGATGTTTTTGCAGCTTTATTTGTGTCCGAGGATTCAGCTGTGGAAGCCGTAATAATGTTATTTAAACTTATATAACAGAATGATAAATAAATGTGTGATATAATTTGCAGTTATCCGTTGGTTTCCCGTGCAGTATCCCACTGTTACTGCAGAGGCACTGTTACCACGATATAAGCACTGGAGTTGAGTTAGATATTTATGTCACCAATGTACGTACAATTTATTCGTTAAAAACAATTAAAATGAACAGCTAAAAGCTAGTACAAGCTCATAGCTGTATAGGCAAAGGTCAAGTGAAACTTAAAGCCCTACCTGAGGTAATCCCGCTTGCAGAGGATGAGATTGGCCTTCGTAAAGAGGGTGGATCCCACCTCGCCGAGACGGCAGTCGCAGCAGGCACATTTGAGGCAATCTTCATGCCAAAATTGGTCAAGGGCCTTCAGTAAGTACCGCTCTCGAATGGGTTTTTGACAAGCTGCGCAGTTTGCACTGCCGCAAGCCAGTGGCCCGCTGGTTCCAACGGTGGCAATCCCAGCCCCAGGCCTCTGTTGAGGCTCAGTCTTCAACTCCATACAATGACTGAAATGAGAAATACGTAAATGCTAAAGATTATAAGGATTAACGTGATGTTAATTCATATTATTTTTTAATAAATAAATCAGGTTTCGGCAGCCGAAACGCTGCTGATAACATAACAATAAATGGATTAATACAAAAATGATTTACAGTGTACAAAACTAAAAATACAAGATTTCAGTTTGCAACAATAATAGGGGTACACCAAGTTCAAAAACGTATACACAACTTCATTTTGAATCCCACGCACACGATTTAATTTAAAATAGAAACAAGAAGGTGAACGAAAAAGTACAGAAAGCGACATACGAGTATTTCTTCCGAGTTTCATTTTATGCAGTAATATACCCATTTCAAGCCAAATAAACTATTTTTCTTATAAGAAATACATTGCAAATTTATTACTGAATATTAAATATTTATGAAAGACAACCAAAATATACTTGGTGTGACAAGTCTTTTATTAACCATTCGCTTAACTTGTAGAGTCATTTTAGGTTATTTTGAAGCAGGAGACCTGAAAATTGAGCAATGCCTTCGCCACGACTCGAACCTGGTCCTCTCGAATACGCCCCGAGTGTGCCACCCGTTACACCACGAAGGCATGCACAAAGGAGGGAGAAAATACTCCCTCTTTTAAAGGGCGACTGGGAATAGGAGGACCCAATCGCCAAATCCTGGTGGTGAAGAATCATCAACCATCACCCTGTTTAGTTCGGGGGCCACTGTTCAGTAATTATGTTTTTTTGAAGCAAGAAACATGAAAGACGTTCAGTGCCTTCGCCGGGACTCGAACCTCTCGAATACATGCCGAATACTCACTCGTCTGTGAAAAACTGTGTCTCTTTTGTTTTTTTTGCTTAATTTATTTTATACGTCATTCTAGCATTATAGTATTTGAATAGAACATGTGGCAACGATTAGATAATTCTTTAAATGATATAAATTTTTGTGCATTCTGAGTTATAATATGAACGAAATATGATACTGTTAAATGAACCTAGCGCCAGAGTATTGCTATGGTAAACAAAGTGAATTTTAAAGAATGCATTTATTCTATTGTGGTTTATGCGCTGTCGGCGAAGTAGGTTTAATTCAATCTAATAAGTTAAAAGAAATGCAAGAAAAAATGCGTGTAATTTAATATTCCGTACATGTCATGTGGTGTACACATCAGATTTTTTAATTTTTAAAACACATTAAAAATAATAACCTAAATTTCAATAAATATTTATATTAAAAATTAACCTAAATTTCAATAAATGTTTATGTATTTTTCGAGTTTAGGAAAGGATGGGGGGAGGGGAATGATCGTCTAGCAATAATGAGAGGGGGTGCATGAGGCAAAAAGATTAAGAAACACTGGTACAGAATTTCAATTCATCCAGAGAACAAATTCCGAGTACATTTCAGTCGATTATAGCGCTGATGATGGAAAATTGTCCTCATGCCTAACTAACGGAAGACTACAATGAATGATTTTACAACAGAATTGCAGACTAAAACCTGGTTAAATGAGGTATTTAGGCTCACGCACATGCTTCGTGCTGGGAAAAGTGAATAATCAAATGAGAAGAAAGGAAGACAGAAAATGAACATAATTGCTACAGTGGAAAATTGCGGAAATTTACTTAAACCGTGACAAGAATAATATGCTTCATAGTAACGTCTAATTTTTAAAAAATGTTTGTGAAGTTTCTTGACAAAATAAAAATTTCGATTACTTTTACAATTGATATAATGAAGTAGTAGTTATGAAGAGCACGTTTATTTGTTGTTGGACTGCTTAAGGGGGCTCATACACCTTAAACCCCTTATGATCTTCGAATATGTAGCTGTTGCAAGAACTGGAATATTTTATTTATTTTAAAAGCAATTACTTCCAACTTTTTACAGCTGACTGCATAATATAGTTGCTTTGGAAACTAGCAATCAGAAAGTTTGTGTTGCCACAAATATTTTTGTAATTTAATCCGCTTTGTGACAAAAGTTTTTGTCATGTTTCCACCTTGCGCGCATAATATTTTAAAATGGCTGATGGTAAATACTTGAAAGTTGATGGAATTCTTTATATGGGCACTGTTTTCTAACTGAACCAAAATGCTGATGAATATTTTAATATTAAAAATGTTTATGCAGGAAAACATTACAGATTTTCTTAATAAAATACATTTTATAAACCCAACTGCAAATAAAATAAAAATTGATCATGAAATTCTTAGGATTTTTGGTTTACAGTAGTTTCCAAATGTTATAAAAGCTATATATTAAATATGGAATTAAATTATGCACAGAATGTCTTAAAATGTGGCGCGCAGGGGTGGAAATGAGACGAAACATTTTGTCGCAAAGCGGATTAAATTATAAAAATATTTGTGGCAACACAAACTTTCAGATTACTATTTCAGAAAGCAGCTATATTATGTAGTCAGCTTTAAAAAGTTGGAAGTAATTGCTGTTAAAAACAAAAAAAAATATCCCAATTCCTTCAACAGTCACATATTCGAAGATCTTATGGGTTTTAAGGTGTATGAGTCCCCTTTTAACGTAAAGGAAAAATAAAAGCATATATTTGAAAAAGCATATATTTGAAAAGTTTAAAAAAAAAAAAAACCTGGAAAATACTAGAAATCGACGTTAATGTGCAAGTCTATAATTTTGTTTCGAAAGTTTAACAGATTTTTAATACATACATTTTAAACATATTTAATGGTTTTATAATCCCACAAAAGTTTGGTAGCAAGAAAAAATCTCTTTCATATTTCATCAAGCATAAATGTAGCCGCAGTATAAAGCATAAAAGTATGCCGCAGAAGATAATACCGATAACTTAAAGAGTTCCTCTTCACGGTAATCTTTAGTTAAAGGCTAAAGATTAACTCGTATGTTGACTAAAAAACAGAGCATAAAGAGTTGTTGTTGTAAGGGGTGAAACTTCCGGCCGACCAGGCCGAAACAAATTCATTCATCAGGCCATAACAGGTGCCAGCCCGTTCAAAGAATAAAGAAGAACAGAGAGCCTGCCATGTTCCATTAAATTATCCAATCCAATCAAATCCACTATCGCTTCTCTATTCTGATTAATTCTCATCATACTTCTTTAGCTACTTGTTTAAATTTCTCATAATTTTAAAAATCCCCAATTACATCAGGTGGGGATTTTTAAGTGGGGATTTTTAAACGTGTCTCTGAACTATGTCTCTAGTAAAACTACAAGATTCAAGGAAGTGGCAATTACTACCTTTTACTCTATAAAAATAACAATTTTCATTTTCTTGAAGACCAAATTTCTGAAAACAGAGCATCTCTACATATAATAAAAGAAAGAGTCTGTCTGCGTGTGTATGTCTTTCGTCCATGCTCCGCGTATGTTAATAGACCCCCCCGCTACGAAATTTGGTACATAGGTGCATCTAGACAAGAGCTAGTGCACAACGAAGCGATTTTTAAAAATTTGAATCAGGTGTTTTTTTATTTTATCTTTTTTGATGAAATCGTGTCATTTTGAATAGTTTCATACTTTTAAAAATGTGCTTTTGGCAATAGTTTTTCATTCAATGCTTTGTATACTGGACTGCTGAAAATATGAGGTAAAATATTACTAATTATACACGCAACACACACATCGCAATTTTCTTATTTTGACGCGCATGTGTCTCGCGAGGCATAACAGAAAGAATTGCCATTTTTTCCCTCTTTATTTGCTAACGGCAAAGTGGTTTGTATATTTTTAATTATGTCATCCACAAAGCACACAATTTTGATTGGTTATTGCTTTCTGATGATAGTTTCATTCTTTTAGAAATGTGATTTCGGCAACAGTTTTCCATTCATTGCTTTGGATACTGGACTGCTGACTGTTTTCTCATGAAAATATGAGATTTATTGCTTATTTCATTGTAATTTTTTATATTATGTTTTAATTATATAGAATTTTAATTATGTAAAAAGTTTTGCATGATTTGTTTTTAAGAAACAAAGTTCTTAACTAACTTTATATCATAAGAATTCTTAAGATTTTGCAACGGGAAGTTGATTAATTTATTTATTAGGATAATTAATATTTGTGTTAAGGGATATTGCTTATTTCATCGTAATTTTTCATATATACGTATATACATAATAAGTTTTCATTTACATTTGTGTTCGTTTTGCTGTTTGTTTTTGCTTCCATGTACGAAGTCAAAAGGAAGTATTGTAATCGCGAAAAGTTTCGGGCATCATATTTCAACGCAAATATCCATTTTCACAGGTATCGAATGCAATTTAACGATGTTTCTGCGTGACATCTGCACGTAAGGACAGGATAAAGGACTGGATAAAGACCCCAAAAAAGTGTAAAACTAATTAAAAATGAATTCTGAAGAGAATTTTTCGTGGCCTCTGTGCGTACGTACGTACGTATGTCTCTCGCATTACTCAAAAACGAGTAGCTCAGAACGTTGAAATTTTGTATATAGGACTGCTATAACATGTAGATGTGCACCTCATGTTTTGGTTGCAATCGGCCGCACCAAAAGTATATAAATATATGTATGTATATCCACTCTTGTTACTCGGCTCAGTAATCTCAGTTTCTTTATTCTTATATGTTTGTAAATTGTACATTTTTTGCTTTAAAAATGATAGAACTATGTTGTTCTTATCTTTCGGTTAAGGATTTTATGCCTTTAGCAAATCTGTATGCCAAAACTTTTAGAATTGTCAACAATTTTAAAGTTGTTTAAGGTGCCGCTAAGCCTAATTATTTTGGCACATGGCCGCCAATGTTTGTTTACATTTGAAACAGCAGAACAGTAGATTTTGTTGCCAATCTAGAGAATGTAAGCTTCGCAATAACAAAGATAACGCCTTTAGTATTGCGAATTAAACCACGCTTAATCCTTTCTGGAATTTATTCGAGGAAATAAGTGTTTAAGATTTACTTCATAATTTTCAATACAGACATCTTTGAGTTTTAATGTATTTTAGCTTTGTCGCGAAGTGAGACCTGAAATAATCGAATGAGAAATACTGAATCGTCTGTGAAAAACTGTTTCTTTTTTGTTTTGTTTGCTTAATTTCTTTCATACATCGTTCTAGCTTTATTATAATATTTGAATAGAACATATGGCAACGATTAGATAATTCTTAAGATGATATGAATTTTGTGCATTCTGAGTTAAAAAAATGATTGAAACGTAGCGCTGTTAAGTGAACTTAACGGCAAAAAAATATAGTGAATTTTAAAGAGTGCATTTATTCTATTGTGGTTTATGCGCTATCGACAAAGTAGATTTAATTCAATTCAATAAGTTTAAATGGAATGCAAAAAAAGAAATGGGTATAATTTAATTTTCCGTACAAGGAGTTCATGTGGTGCACACATCTGATTTTTTTTGATAAAATTGTGCTGCAGAGTAAAATTCTGTACAGTTTTTAAAATTTAATGTTTGGTGTTCCGTTTAGGCATTTTTTCTGGTACATTTAAAAGCGATACGAAGGCTGGCCCCGTAGCGGATAGTAAAGATTATGAGAAAGGATTCGGATGAGATTCTAAAGCAACCCTTTTGCAGAGAATATTCTTAACTAGATGAACACGCGCATATTCAAAACTACGAAGCTTCCAAATTAAACTAAACGTTCTCAATGCTTGGAGATGGCCCCCTGCAAATTCAATAAAGCACCACCTCCGCCATCCGCCAGACGACTTTTCCAACTAGCAAGCAAGCCATGAACAATTTGCATTAATGGGACCAGCAGACCGACCAGCAGCAGAGTTAATCTTTCAACCCTGTCCATTAACGAAGCCCATCCCTCGCTACACGCGCCACGCTCTCGGTAACCGGTTTGCCACGCACCAGCTTTTAACTTAACCGCATCGAACAGGGCCAGGCACTAATCTTCATAAAAGCCCCCCTTCAAAAATATCCGCAAGAGCTTTTTAGTTCCGATATGACACGAGATTCCCCGTACGAAATTACCATTATACAGATTGGGCATTAGGTATTCATGAAGCGGGACTGCTGGCACGGAATCCGAAAGCAAGAGGGAATTAAATTTTCATAAGTCCAATAAAATGTAATTTATGTTAAACCATTAAACGCATAGGATTGGAAGTGGCGCTTTACGTATCGCGATGTAATTGAATATCGTTCATAATTTACTTGATGAGCCAATTGCGTCGATGGCGTAAGTGGTCTGCTGAGCTCGCGCCTTTCGCTTGCTCTCGCTCTCTCTGCAGAACCCCCCTTTTCCCGCCAGACGGCCAAACATCCTCTTCTGTGTTACGTTCAGAAATTCGATTTTCCATCTTTCCCAGCAAAGCGAGTCTAAGAATCACATTTTGGGATTAATCGAGTTGAGATTGGCGAGAAAGTAAGTCGCCACGTCGCACGCCAAATATGACGTAATTTCATAGCAGAGCTTATTTACATTCTGGGATATTACTTCAAGCTTCTGGTAATGAGTTTTAAATGCAATTTTTTATGTGAATTAAGTATGAAATTTATCTGTTTTAAGAATAGCTAAAAAATACATGCTATCGCATTTTAAAATAAAGATTTTAATTGAACAAGTAAAAATAACCTAGATCACATTCAATGATAAAAGTGTAAAATAACCTAGATTACATTCAATGATAAAAATGTATCTCTTTTTTTTTTAGTCCAAAGGGATTTGAATCCCGAAGGCCTATTAGTTTCCTTTTGGCATTTTGCGTCGGACTCATAAATGTCGGTTCACTTTTCAAACTGTTGCCACAAAATGTTAGAGTCCTGCATTATATTTGAAGAAATTAAATAATGAAAAATCTGCATAAATGTATGTATATTTCTCGTATTGTGATAAAACAACGGTACATAGAGTCATCGAATTTTGAATAACGTAATCCTCCAACGAATATGAGCATGTGGAAGACCAAATTTGAAATTTGAAATTTGTTTTATGATCGATTTCCTATTTTTTAAAACTTTGACGAATTTTTGATTAACAAACTCAAGGATTTCAAAGCGAGCAATGGCAACGTTGTGCAGAAAAAAACATTTTTATCTCCAGCGCGTGAGTCTCTGTATCGGAAATTCTAAAGATATGCTCGTTTTAAAACTATTTTGCGATATTGCTGTTGCACTGGATCTTATGGTTTAAGTGCGAGGAACATGATATTAATAAAGAAAGGTAACACACAAAATGTTAAAAAACGCCCTTTTGGGGACGTAATTTAAAATCTGAAACATTTCAGATTTTTTTTTTATTATTATTATTTTTTTTATTATTATTATTTTTTTTTTAAGAATAAATTTTTAAAAAAATAATACCGCATTTTAAAATAAAAGATTTTATTTGATTACTTGAACAAATAAAAATTTCTTAGATCGCTTGTAGAGTCATTATGAATATTTAAAGGAGACCTGAAAAATGTGCAATACTTTTGCCAGGATTCGAAACTGAACCTCTCGAAAACGCGTTAAGTGTGCTACTGTTTGTTACACGCCGAAGGCAATGCAGGAAGGAGGAAGAAAATGCGTTCTAGTGACTCCTTTTTTTTTCGTAACTATTTCTCCTTTTAAGGCAGTTCTACGTAAGCATCTAACACCATATAATATTAAAAAATAACTGTCGAAAAATTGGTGAAGAAAAATCAACTAAGCCCTTGCTGTTGTCCAACTTAGCTATCATCCAAATGTTAGCTGGGCATGTTACCACGTATACCATGGGAGCACGCAAGGGGAAATGCAGTAATTTATCTTCTCTCCCATATAATAAACGATTAGGAAGATACACGGTACCCAGTCGACCAAATCCACTTGAAGACAAATAATCGTCAATTACGAGTACATTTTAATTTCTGCATTACTATCACGACAATAATGAGGAAAAAAGAAAAGAAGAAAAACACGAAAAATTAGTTATGCCTTTGCCGCTGTATC